GCTCAAACAACAGTTGATTCACTACTTATCCTCGGCCTATTTATACATCATTGTTCATATGAACAGACTAAATTAAGAACATTGATACGTGAGAATAATTGCGATTACCCGTTCTTTCTTGGTTGATAACGGTGAATCGAAATCTGCATAAAAAACTGGTACTGGTGGTGATGTGCAAATGGTGTTTGTCGTTGAATTCATTTGAGTTGTTATTCAGGTAAATGAATACTGAACGAGAATAAAATGACTGCAATTTCAATAATATTCAACAAATGGTCAAACCTAACGGCACATTTACATATTTGGAAACTCGCATTACAAACGACCAAAATAGCCAAAAAACAGCATAAATTCTCATAAATTGCATCAAACGATACCTATCAAATTTTGCATTTCGCACAGAAAAATTCGAAAGTAAATTTTGAAACAAAACCAAATGCAATAAAATGAAAAGCAGTCACGAATGAAAGTTATTCAACTCCAGTAAACATCTATCTTTAAAGGCATTAAATTCACATTGCAAATGAAGTCATTTCAAAGAATTACTTCTTCTCAAAAATGTTACAATTACCGCAATATACAGTTCTTTCGTAAACATACTAACGAAATTATGACTGCGTCACAAAACTTTTGAAAATGCCGCTTGAGTATGGGTGGTCGATCGTTATGCCACACTCTTAGTGACTGGGTTCACGTGATGGGGAGGGACACAGAGCGGGAACGATCAGGTGAGAGGTGTGNNATGGTTGAAATGGTATAGTCTTTAATTTTTCACGTGATGGTATTCACGTGATTTCACGTGATCGAACTAGAATTCGTTTTCCTGTAAGATGGAATTAGGCATGCCATATCGTTGGAAAGATCTGATGAGACTACGAACTGACGATGAGTGAACATATCGTATATAGTGGTCATGGTTGATATCAGTTGGACGATACGAATAACGGTATTCTGAATGATTGGAATGCAAAAATATTTGAAATTGGGAATTTTATATGAAAACTCAAACTCAGTTTCATATAGAACTGTGTTTATATGAAACTGAGTTTAGAACTGAGTTATATGAAATTATGCTGAGAGGTTGCTGAAGTTTTTTTTCGAGTAAATTTAATAGTTTGTCGGAAACCAAATTCTCTGTGAGATGAATCTTTCGGCATTTACCGTGAAATGTTTTGCTCGTAGAATTTTGAGTCATTCGAACTTCTGACATTTGATGATAACTTTCACATTCAATGCTCACAATCAGTTGCACGGAATCCACATAAAGTTTCCTCTTGGAAATTATCCACTCTTGAAAGAATCCAGTGATCTTTCGAATGAGATTTCATCTACGTGTTCTAGGTCACACACAACATTTTTCTTTCTAGCTCAAGTTCCAATATTCCAATTGGAATTTAACTAGCATTTCTTGAGGTATGATTGTGTCTAGTGCATTGAAGTTTTTAATCGGTTTATGACGAAGTGAAGCAGAATTATTGTTTATTTAATAAAGTGATCATTTGTCAGGGTTTGATCTGCATCACAACACAACGTTTATGTGTCTTGAAGAGTAGTCGGATCGATGGTTGTTGCTATGGATAAAGAAACTTTGCTGAATATAGCGTTAAGTGTAATTGAATTAGACGATGTTTCATGCAACGTTAATGGAATTGATTTGCGAATATGTCATGTGTCAGAAGAGATTATACAGCAATTCGAACTCCTATCCACGCAGTTCGTCGTTTTCGAATGATATTCTTTTGATTTATTTCTTTCGAATTATTTTCTAAATTATGAAGAACCGCATTCACATAGGATTAATGAATGAATAATGTAAAAGAGAACTGAAGATGAAACGAATAATCGGTCGTATTTGTAGTGATGAAGATAGTGATGCAGTTAATGGACTACTCATCTCATCAGATATTATCAATGATGATAATGAAAACCAACAAATTGAAAGGAAAAGAAATTATGTGGATGGTTTGAATACGCTTGCTGCATTGTTCAATGCGCCATTCGTTGAGATCACTGCGGATGGACCAAATCTAGTGAGTTGAATTTGATGAAAATGTTGTGATTGTAATTGTGAAATCCATGGATTTATCANTTTTTGGCTTAAAAACTTGCCGTAAAATGTAACGAGAGTGAAATGAGAACTCTCGTTCCAGATTCTTCTCCATAGAGATGGGATGGGAGTATTTCGAGACAATCGAACTAATTACTGAAATGTGAAGGTATGGCGATCGACGTCTACATGGGGTCACATCTTACCGATTGTATTGTTCGTGAAGAAGGATTCAAAATGCGTGTGTGTTTCGATGAATAACGATGATGCGAAGAATTTATTACCGTTACGGAGGTATTTGCTGTATGCTGAACAAAATATTTGTGTTTATTCACAGGTTAATTTTTGAAATATTTCTCCATCCATATAATATACTTCATTATCCGTATTCAGTATCATGCTGAACATTTTTACCATTATAAAGTGTTATTTTTATCGGTTATATTCATCCTTTCACTTGAGTAATTTTCGAAACTCCAATGAAATAAATTGAAATGTTTTGTCGAATTCATTTTCAATGTGAGCCAGGTATTGCTGGTTCAGTTATAAGCTAGTGTTCCGTAGGAGACTTTGAAATTCAGTGTTTGTGTTAGATAGAGTTGCATGTTCGGTCGTTTTAAGATATTCTTTCGATCGTGTGGAATCGACTCACAATGAGTTGCATTCTTTTTGAAGTGCAGAAAAAGAAATGAAATAAATTTCATGTCTAATTCCCAGGAAAGACTGAATTATATGAAATATTTCAGAAAATTGCATTGACATTAAAAACTAAAAACAGTTTTCAGACATTCAACTTAATCATTTACCAAATATTGGATATATTCAGTGAATTTGCAAAGCGTTCATTATTTCCGATTCTATCTGTTGACGTAATTCACGCAGATGAAAATCTTTGGCTGACAATAGATTTGCCACATTTATTCGAGCAACAACGACGATATTTGGTGACTGAGAAGTGTGTGCGAATAAATGAAACTGCAACAAAAAGTGAGCGGAACGAGACGAGATTGCGTGATATCACTGAGGAGTGGTGTTCGAAACGCTTGTCGAACTTCGACTATTTACTGAAACTAAACGAATTCGCTGGTCGAGATAGGGAACATTCTGATAATCACTACATCATGCCGTGGGTTGGTCGTTTCTTGGGATGTCTTCATTTTATTGACTGGTTATATTTGATGATAGTTCGAACACTTATTCGTTAATCTTCTTTGAATAATTGCAAATTTAATATTACCAATTATTGTTCACTATGATTGTTATTGTTATTACTGCTGTTATTATTATTTATTGTTGTCGTCATTGTTTCAACTATTT